GCAGCAGGCCCTGCACCTCCTCCCTGATCCCCGCTGGAGGGATTAGGGGAGGGCAGGCAGGGGTTAGGAGGGTTTTTAGAATCAGCCCAGGACCCTGAGCAGTGGAACTCTGTCACCTCCCCTGCCCTTTGGTTGAGGAAACCAAGGCGGCCAGTGGTTTGGCAAAGTCCCTAGGCGATCTGACCTGGCTCCCGCCCTCCTGCCAGCCGGTTCATCCTAACCTTTGCCCAGGCTGTGAGCTCCGACCCGTCGCCTTACCACCTTCTGCCCCACACAGCCAGCTACAGCCCAGGTCACCTCTCTCGGTGCACAGCAGCTCTAGCTCCGAGGAAGGCAAACGGGTCCCTTCCTTCCCAGGATGGATACTGCCAGGGTCCCTCCCCATCCTGATTCCACCCCACTCTCCTTTCTGACCCATTCCCCTCCCTCAGCCACTGCAGAGAAATCACTTTGGATGCCTCAGGCCTGTTTAGTCCACCTCCTCCTCCAGGAAGTCTTCCCCTGGACTCATCCCCACCCATGGTCAAGTGAGCTGGGGGGCGGGGAACCAGCTGCCCCGTCCCCTGGACCTCTGGTCCCCCAGCTCTCCTCCTGGGCTCTTTCTGCCTCTACATGAAGTTTTCTTGCCTGGAAGTGCTTAGAGTCCCCGGGTAGGGGGAGGAGGACAGACAGGGACACAGGAGTCCAAACCCCCAGGGAGAAACAAACCCTCCAGGCTTCCGAGGAGGAGGGGCGAGTTGGAGGAAACCGCAGAAGCACGCTGAGGAATCCAGCCTCCCTCAGGTGGGGGTGCCGACTGGCCAGGGCCCCTGGGTTGGTGCTGGGAGGACACTGGTGTGTGGCAGAGGCACAGGAATGGCCTTTGTCATCGCAACAACATCTTTAACGCAGGCATGGAGCGAGGGGCTCACCCCGCGCTGACCCGTGACTCTGGGTCAGCTGTTGGGTGTGAACACAGTCGCCTGGGTAGGGGCCCCATGGCGCAGATCGGGGGGGTCGCTGCGGCCCGGGCTTCCAGCCCGGGGTCAAACCCCCTGGGTGTTGCCTGTTGTGCCAGGGCTTGTTGACTGTACAGAAGCCGGCTGGGAGGGGACTGGCGGGAGGGGATCCTGGGGTAAGGTTGCACCCTGGGAGGGCACATTCCAGGAAGGAGGAAAGGGAGACAGACCTCAGACCCACCCCTCCTCAGCACCCAGGCAGCTCTCGAATTCTCACAGGGGGAGGGGGAGGCCGTCACAGGGCCTGGACAAAGGTCAACCAACTCTGCTCATGTCTCCAGGTCTGGGCTCTGGACCCAAGGGGGGCCTAGTCACTGCACATTTCTGGACCTTGGTGACCCTAGCTTTGCCCTAGGGGAGAATCTGGACTTTCATCTTCCCTGGTCCCCCATAGCACCTCCTTGATAAATCTGAGCCCACTCAGTTTCTCCTTGGCTGGGGTTCTCCACGCCCCTCAGTGTCCCCCAAGGGCCTCAGCCAGTGCCCCTACCCGGAGCTGCCCCCCGAGCCCTGGGCCTGGTCATTCTGCTCCGCTCTCCACTCTCCATGGTGGGGGCATGCTGCACCCCAAACTCTCAGCTGCCCCTCTGTGCACCCTGCCTGCCCCCGGTGGGGCTGGCCGATGGCTGCAGTGTTAGGCCAGAGTCCCCCCATACACACCCTCTTGGGAGCCTCTGGCTCTGCTTAGCTGATGCCGGCCAGGCCGGTTTACTCCAGTGAGCTGGGTGTCTTGAGAATTCGGGAATTTGCCATACCAGACCAGGGAACATGACCTTGGACAAGGAAACATGAGGGGCGGGGGTGGTGCGGGCTTTGGCCCTGGGGCCTCACCAGGTTTGGGGCCCCAGACATCCAGACTTGGCCCACGCCTGCAGAACAGGCACCCGAGCCACCCCCAGCCCCGCTTAGAAGCTCACAAGGGTCTACCCAGCACCCACAGCCCCCACACCCGACACCTGGGTGCCAGGCACTGGCCCTTCGCCCAGCCCTCACACACAGATGTGTGACGTCATCTGACCAGTCATCCGTGTTCTCCCTGTGAGCCCGCGTGCTGGCTCACACACCCTCACCTGACTGTACACACCGCATGCACACATTGTCTCACACATTTCCTTTCTGATGGTACACACTCTCAAGCTATCACCTTCATATTCACACACATATACCATCACCCAAGTGGAGATGGGAGCACCCCACCCCCAGGCACACCCATTCCCCAGAAGGCACACGCCACGGCAGGACACACACCGGGTCCCATGTTCCCCATCCCGAGAATGCACACACACCCCAGGGCACCTGATTACACAATTCCTCATGCTGAGTATTCTGGGGGCGCATAGGAGCACACCGCAAACACATTCACACAGGGGTGCACACGCATGCCCTTGGGGGCAGTTGGGAGCTCTCTGTGGACTTGGGGTCTCAGTGGAGGGTCACTGATCACAGGAGGGTTCCTGCAGCTCCTCCGCTGCTGCTCCTCTGGGGTACCCTGCGCTGGAGACTTCCGTCCCCCCGCCCGGGCCACCCCGCAGGACCCAAGGCCCCTAAGGTCTCCCCAGGTCTGGGTCCTCCTCTGACCCCGAGGCTAAGGAGCAGGGCCTGAGGACGCAGCAGTCCACCTGACCACACCGGCCGGGGGTCATACTCACTGACGCGGGGGTGGGTGATGTAGTTTCGGGTGACCGCCTGCACGTGTTCTCGGGCGGCGCCCAACCTCGCGCCTCCGCCGGGGAGACCCCTGGGCCTACTGTCTACTTCCGCGGCCATGGCGAGGTGGCGGGCTGCGAGCGGAGTGCCTGAGCCTCCCACAACTCGGGGCCGAGCTGGAGCTGGAGAGAGCCGGCCGGCCTCCTCCGGCAACCGCCCCTCCTTCAACCCTCCCCTCCGGGGTTGACTGTAAACAGGGAAACCTAGCCCTTTGGCTCGCAGCCCTTCCCGATCTGGGAGGGGCAGGAGGCGGGCTTCTCACGCCTCCGTCAGTCGGTGCTTACGCTCCTGACCCAGCCCTGCAGCTGGCTGGAACTCAACGTCTTCCCCCGAACCTCAGGTGCTGCTACAACCTAAGCCCCTCACATCTCCTGCTGGGCTCACCCCCACCCCGCCCCCCACCTCCCAAAGCCCATTTCCAGCAGCCTGCCATCTCCTCAGGTCTTCTGACTTTCCAAAATAACCTCTCCCTGCCCCATGCCCTGAGTACTTCTGGGTCCCTCTTCCTCCTGCAAAATTCCACCATCATCTTTGTTTGAACATCTATAGAGGATCATTCTTGGGCCAGCTTCAGGGCCACCTCCTACAGGAAGCCTTCCCTGGCTCCTCCAGCACTGTGGATTCACCACACATCTGATCTCTTTCCTATGTCATGCCGTTTTGGGGGGTTGTCTCATTGCCACCTGGGGCTGTGGGCCCCTAGGAGCTCAGCCTGTGTTACTCATCAGACTTGTGTCTTCATAAGCCTTTCTGTCTCATAATACTGAGGGTTCCCTGAGGACCAGCTCACCTCTCTGATCACACTGTCTCACCTTGTATTTCACCTCCAGGGGCCTAGGCAGCAGGTTTGCCCTGAATTTTTCAGCCCAAGGCAGAAAGTACAAATGAAGGGTCCTTCTTCATGCTGGCTAAAGAAATTGTCCCCTGGGGTGATGGTTGCCTCTGGCAGAATGAGTACAGGTCTGCTGGGCAAGGCAGCACTGGCCCTAGGGGGTAGCTGCTCCTGTGACCCGCATATCTCCTTCCAGACTCAGGATTTCCTGGCACCTCTAAGCACCTTCCCAAACCACAGTGCCCCACCGTGGGAACGGGGAAGCACAGCTAGGACTCCCTGTCTCCCAGCATCCCTCTCTGGGTGACTCAGGGCAGTCAACCTGAAACCAAATACACTTCCCAGAGAGACTGGAGCTGACTGTGCTTGCTTGCCTTTTCTTCCTCAGAGGCAACATCTCACCCTGCATCCTAGGACTGGGGAACGCATTTCAGGTTCCTGGTCCCTCTCACACTTCCTAGTCTTTCAAAGAACTCTCTTGAGTTGGGGTGGGGTGTGGGGGTGACTTTGACGGGCAGCACTGCGGTAGATCTCTGAGGTGGTCAACAGCTCTATATCATATTTGTGGTGGTAGTTTCACGAATCTTACACAGATGAAAAAGTGACATGAAACTACACACACACACACAATCAATGTCAATTTCCCAGTTTTGATATTATTCTGCGGTAATGGAAGATGCAACCACTGGGAGAAACTGGGTGTAGGGTACATAGTTTTCTCTGGACTATCTTTGCAACTCCTTGTAAGTTCTACAATTACTGCAAAATTTAAAAGGTTAAACAAAACTGTCTTATTTAAGCAAGAAAAAAATTTTGAAGTGCTTCAAGTTGGGGTGTTTGTGATGCGCGGGTCCTCTAAAGCATGTGGGATCCTGCCTGGGTTTACCTGTGATGCCCTCTCTGGCTTTCTGGATCCTCGTCTGATCTTTCGATGATCACCCTCCCCAAGGACTTGACATTCCACCTCTAGAGTACACGTTTGAAAGAGAAGCTTGCAAAGGGCAACACGTACCAACAAAGGCATGGATGGTGCTACCATGGGAGGTGAAACACCTAGGTGGGAGCTTGAATTGGGAGCAGGAGTCAGGTGGGTACCAGATTCCCCGGCTGTGAACATGCCCGTCAGGGAGACCAGTAGCCTGATTCCTTCCCCTGGAGGGGCAAGAGAGGGGACGGAGGCAGTGGCGTGCCGTGGGGACTCGATTTCCCTTCTTGTCATTGTTTTCCTTTTATTTCAGTGAGACACACACACACACTGCACTCACACACACACCCGCTGTGGACCAGCGCCGGCCACTGGAGAGTCTCTGAGCTGGAGGTGGACGGGGCAGGGCGGGCGGCTGCCCCTTCTGCCTCTGGGCCCACGAGGCAGGGGTGGTGCTGTGTTTGGGGACTCAGTGTCACGCGGGGGGTGGAGACTTAAGCGTTGGCCTTCTTGCTACCACCGNGGGGGGGGTGGAGACTTAAGCGTTGGCCTTCTTGCTACCACCGCCGGGGCTGCCCACTCTCCGATCCAGCCGGCTGTAGGGCTCGAAGGCCGAGGAGCCCAGTTCGTAGCCAGCAGGCAGGTCCAGGAGCGGGGCGGTGGAAAAGCAGAGCGCCGGCGGAGGGGGCGGCAGTGGGGGCGAGGCCGAGGCCGAGGTCAGCGGGTTGAGGTGTGGGGAGGAGTTCCTGGGGTCACCCAAGGAGGTGCCCCTGTGGCCGGCAGGCAGGCCCGGTGGGCCGGGGGTCAGCGCCAGGAGGCTGGGGGCCCTGGGCACGGACAGCAGCCGGCCGTGCTCCAGAAGCCGCAGGATATTGGAGGTGGCGAAGGCCTTGGACGCCGAGGAGGACGCCCGCTTCTCCAGGTCTCTGCTCTGGTCTTTCTTCTGCTTGGTGCGGCGGTTCTGGAACCAGACCTTCACCTTGGGGCGGGGTGAGGGGAGGGGAGTCGGCAAGGCAGAGGGGACAGGGAGTAGAGGGGAGCAGGGGTGCAGTGAGAGAGGGAAGAAGAGCAGGCAGACTGTCGTCAGGATCTTCCCGCCAGCAGCCTGGCTAGGGGAACAGGAGACCCTGGCCCCCCACACCCACTGCTACCCTGACTCCTGGATGGGGGGAGGCACAGATGAGGTTCCCCTCTTGGCCCGCACGGCTTTCACTCTTAGCCACCCCCACTTCCTCCTGTCTCACCTCCCCCCGACCCCTAGCCCATCTCTGAAGGGAGCTCCCTAGCCCATCTGGCCATCCCCCTATTTGAACCTCTCGGCATCCCCCTCCCACCCCATCACCTATAAAGCACCTCTCAACATGACACCCAGTATAAGAGGATGTGTCAGGATGGTGCAGGACACTTCCAATGGCCACATTCCCCAAACTGGGGATAGAGAGGTGCCAAGTACCCCACATCCTAAATGGAGCCACCAAAGAGCGGAGACCGTTCTCAAGGCTGATGAGACGAGGAGAAGTTGCCCTCTGCCAGCACCAGGCACCAGGCACCTGGCACTCAGCATTCCACCACCCCCCCCATCTGTAGAAAGAAAGGAAGGCTGGGGGGCAGGCAAGCTCAGTGGTCAGTTCTGTGGGCCCCTCACGGTGATGGGATTTTCTCCCCTCTCTGGGGAAGGACAGGGTGCTCCCCCAAGGAGGCAGGTTGGGAGTCCTGAAGTGTCTGAGGAGGAGGGACCGACAGTTGCTCCCCAGTTGGCAACCCTGTCAACTGCTGCAGCACCCAGGTCCATGTCCCCAGGAGCAGAGAGGCTCCCTTCTCTGGCTGGGAGGTGCCGGAAGGCTGGCAGTTGGCTGAGCTGTGTGCCAGCTGGGGACCGTGGAGTGGAGGGCTGGGAAAGAGAAGCACGGGGAGACCCACTGGTTTCCTCCAGCCTGGGAGGACAGAGGGAGGAAGGAGAGGCGGGGAGGAGGAGCAGGGCCGGGAGGCTGGCCCGGGAGAGGATGAGGGCAGAGCTGAGGCTTCTTGGGGCGATGCCTACCAGGCCCCCTGTGGGAGCAACCAACCCTCCAGCCAAGGTGGTGGCCATGAGGCTCCCCAGGCCAGAAGGTGCCACCCTCCCTGCCCTCCTGACCCCGGTGGGGGAGGGGTACCACACTCCCCCCTCCTTTCTAGAGGCTTTCTAGAGGGCTCTTCCCCTGCATGTCCCTCCAGCAGAGGGTCATGCCTGCTCTGAGTGGAGGAGGGAGGAGAAGAAAAGATATGAAATACATATGAGTTGGGTGTTTTCAACAGGATTGATTGCTTTTCGATAAATGAAAGTGACCAGGGAGCTAGGGGATCTACCAGAGGTTGATTCCTGCATTCGCTCACTTGCTCATGCATTCAGCAGATGTGGACTGAGCATCCAATCCCTGGGTTGGAAGGATTCCCTGGAGGAGGGCATGGCAGCCCACTCCAGTATTCTTGCCTGGAGAATCCCATGGACAGAGAAGCCTGGTGGACTACAGTCCGTGGGGTCGGAAAGAGTTGGACAGGACTGAAGCTACTTAGCACGCACAGCACATGTGCCAGGCACTGTTCTAGGCAGCAGGATCCTCGCCGTGTAGGGTGGGCAGGGTAGCGGGGCAGACAGATGATAAACAACAAATACGAGCGAACAGGTATAGCTGTCGGTGGCAGTAAGTGCCTTGAGCAGCATCTCTCAAATGATTCGTGGTGAGGAGTCACTTTTTAATGTTTCCAATCTGTTGTGGATCAATACTTTCGTAAAATACAATTAAAGTGAATTGTTAGAAAAACTGCTCTGTATATTTCTAAACACGTACTCTCCATTTCTGTATTAACTTGGTATGCACAGACAACAGCTGTGGATTGGCACTTTGGGGACCCCATGGAGAGAAAGGGGGCACAATAAGGAGAGGAGAGGCAGGGAGGCAGTGTCTTATCAGTGGGGTGGCAAACACACCCCCTCTAAAGAGGTGACATTTGAAGCTGATATCAGTGAAGGGCAGTCAAGCAGGAAGGATGACTCGGCCAAGTCTGGCTGAAAGATGTGACTGTTAGTCACAGTGAAATTTGATTGCTCCAGGAAGAGGTCCTGCCAGATCATTGGGGACATGACTCTGTGTGTCCCTGTAATCCTTTCCCCTGCTGGGAAGCCTTCTGGGTTCTTGGCCAGGCACCACCCCCAGGGACCCCTGAGTTTCAGGTCTCATCTTTAAGATAAGGACAAAAACACCTGGGTTGTGGCAGAGCTCAAACAGGAAATCCTTGGGGCCCACACTCCGTGTGAGGTGTCCTGTTCACCTTCCCTGTTCCTTCCTCTGACCTGGAGGGGGAGGACAGACTCAGAGGTCGTGGTTCCTTCCCTCTGGACCCTGAGGATATAGCAGGAGAGAGACTGACCGCTGCCCGCAAACACAGGGCAAGTAGGTACAGAGCGAGCGGCAGTAACAGGGTGCGACCCACCAGGAGGGGAGCTTTCACAGGGGCTCCTGTCCTGTCCTGTCCTGGGTGTAACAGGGAGGGGAGGGTCTTCCTAGAACAGCACCTGGTACGCAGCAGGCAGTCAATGATATATTTGCCCAAAAGTATGGGTGAATATATCTTCCCAGTGGTAAAGAATCCACCTGCCAATGCAGGAGACCTAGCAGACTTGGCTTTGATGCCTGATAGGGAAGATCCCCTGGAGGAGGAAATGGCAACCTGCTCCAGTATTCTTGCCAGGAAAATCCCATGGACAGAGGAGTCTGGCAGTCTATAGTCCACGGGGGCACAAACAGTTGGAAACGACTGAGTGACTAAGCACGCATGCATATGCATAGGTGAATATGCTGAGAACTCCACAAAATTCTAGCCATGTAAACTTGGCAAGTTAATTAGTCTCTCTGAGTTCAACTTTGTGAAATGGGAATAATATTACTCATAAAGTCATCTTTTCTTTTTTTTTTAGTGTTTTGACTGCATCGTGTGACCTGTGGGAACATAGTTCCCTGAGCAGGGATCAAACCCATGCCCCCGACATTGGAAGCTTGGCGTCTTAACCATTGGACCACCAGGGAAGTCCTGAAAGCTAACTTTTTAAGATTAGATGAGTTAATGAATGTGCCTGCTTTACATTTTGAGCATGGTATTTAATTTCTGTGTGCCTCCGTTTCCTTCTCTTTAATATAAAAATAATAAAGAGCCATTCTGTTGTACTAAAAAAAAAGTACACTTAGCTTTTGTCCCTGGGTCTTGGTCCAGAGCTCTTTGTTGTTCATAACCAGCCCCCTCTGAGCAGACCTGAGTTTATGCTAATGAGGTGACTCAGGGTGAACTCCTAGTTTTAGAATGCGGGTTGGTCGAAGAAAGACTAAACCTGTAATAGAGGGTTGGAACGTTCATTCCCTTCCCTCCAGGAAGCATAATGGGTCTGGAGACTGGGTTATAAAGACTCTTGAACAATGACGTTTCCTCCATGCACTCTCCCCTCTACATCTGGTTCTATGCATCTCTTCTATACGCCTATTTCTGAGTTGTATCCTTTATAATGGGGTTTCCCTGATGGCTCAGTGGGTAAAGAATCCCCCTAGCCAATGCAGGAGATGCAAGAGATGTGGGTTCCATCCCCGGGTTGGGAAGATCCCTTGGAGCAGGAAATGGCAATCTACTCTAGAACTCTTGCCTGAATAATCCCAATGGACAGAAGAGCCTGCTGGGCTACAGTCCAAGCAGTCACAAGGAGTCGGACATGACCTAACACAGCATATATGCATGCATCCTATATAATAAATACATTTGTAGACATAAATACAGCGTAAAGAGTTTTCCTGAGTTCTGTGAATCATTCTAGCAAATTATCAAACCTAAGGAGAGGGTGTGGGAACCCGCCTTGTATAGCTGGTCATAACCTATGGCGTGGGTGTTACCTCCAGGAGTTGAGGTCAGAACTGAATTGAGTTGTATTGTTGGACACCCAGCTGGTATTGGAGAACTGGCTGCTGCCGGTGTGGGAACACACCACATCGTGTCAGAAGAAAAACCTCACACCTGTTCTACGAGCTGGTGGTGAGGATCAAGCAAGTCAGAACACATCTAGCACTTAGAACAATGCCTGGCACACAGGAAACTCTCAGCGTTAATAATACTGTATATTGTCTGCCAAGCTCCAGGGCCAGGGGAAGGGGAAGGAGGCTGGTAAGTTGTAACCAGTCAGTTGAGGGTTCTTTGAGGGTCCACTGTGTACCCAGTTGTGTGCTGGGCTCCCCAAGGAGGCCTGAAGAGCAGATGTGCCCTTCAAATACATTCTTGTTTTGCAGAAATGCACACGGGTCGGTGCCCGCCACCCCCCCCCCACACACACACCACACTTTACAGGTCAAGCCATGTGGAACAGGCCTTGCAGTGAGGTCAAGAAGCCTCAGGGAAGGCTTCCTGGAAGAGAAGGGACTTGGCTTTGACCTTAAAGAACAGATAAAGGTGGCCTGTACTGGCAGGGCAGGGAAGGATGAGGACTGAGGAGTTGTTGGCCTGGGCATCTGAGGTGCCCTTGCGAAGAATGTTTCAGAGGGGGGAGTTAGGGGGGTAAACTACGTGAGGCAAAGGGAAATTAGGCCAAACAGGAGGAGGGACCCTGTGCCTACACCTCAGACCCTGGTCTGAGGGGTCTCCCTGGCTCCCTCTACACGCTCGGCCCCGCCTGGCCACTGCAGGCCTCCTGGACAGAGCCTGGCTGTCCAGCCCAGCTGAGCTCAGCTAGAGGGAGGGCCCAGCTGCCCCAGGCCATCTGCTGGGCTGTTTGGGACTCTACAGGGGTGGCTGGAGGAAAACAGGCCAGACGGAAATGCCCCGGCTTGCAAGACAGCAGGGCGGTGTGAAGAGAGCCTCCCCAATCCTCCCCAGACCCACCTGCTTCCTTCTCTCCTTCCTCTCCTCGTCCCTTCATGCATCCTGGTTTGGCCCTTTTGATACATTTATTGGTACCTCAAGCTCTTTACTTGTAGCTAGACTTAGAATCTCTGAGTCTTTTTTTGACAAGCTCCAGCATGGTTGCCCAGTATACAGGCAGCATAAAGGGGCCAGATTGGTTGTCCAAATCCTAGTTCTGGAACTTATTCATTGTATGACCTTGGGCATCATAACCTCTCCTGATGGGTAAAATGGATATTACTGGTTGCTACAATCACAGGGTTGTAGGGGTTAGCAAACTAACATAACTAATTGGAACAGTGTCTTCACACAATAAATATTGGGGAAGCATTATTATTATTACTACCACCTTTTTGTTGACTGTATTGCACGCCCTTACAGGATTTTAATTCCCAGACCAGGGACTGAACACAGGTCATAGCAATGGAAGTATGGAGTCCTAACCACTGACCCCCACGGAATTTCCCACTACTACTATCATTATTATTTAGATCTATTAGTTTGAATAATACTGCTCCAATACTTTGGCCACCTGATGCAAAGAGCCGACTCACTGGAAAAGACCCTGATGCTGGGAAAGATTGAGGGCAGGAGAAGGGGGTGACAGAAGATGAGATGCTTAAATAGCATTGCCAACTCAATTGACATGAGTCTAAGCAAACTCTGGGAGACCGTGGAGGACAGGGAAAGCTGGCATGCTGCAGTCCATGCGGTCACAGAGTCAGACACAACTTAGTGACTGAACAACAACAACCAGTCTGAAATGCCTCCATTCACACAGAGTAGGTGCTCAGTTTACAAAAGTCTTTCCTTTGGGTCGGGCAGACCACTGCTAAGTGCTAAGCCTTACCTGGGTGAAGGGGGAGTTCAGACCTTTTCTCTCCAACAGGAGGTTCTGAGGCTCACTGGGATGAAGGGAGGATGGGAAAAGGCCCAGAATGTGGAAATGAGAGGTCCCCAACCCACATTTGTAATGCCTCATCTCTTTCCTGAACCTGTGCTCCCAGCAAGCCAACACTGCCCCATGCCTTTCTGCAGGCTCCCTCCTGCACCAACAAACACTCCCTTAAGCCACTGCCTTCATCTTGAATGTCCCTCTCTCCTATCTCTCTGACCTTTCCCCAAATTCCATCCAAAGGGCCTGATAGATCCAGAAGTGCCCCACTACCCCACCTTCAATGGCAAATGCCAACTTTCTCTTGTCAGCACCGTGTTTATTTGCTCTGGTTTACCAGTAACTTTAAGCCTTTCCCCAACAGATGTCTGAACTCCAAAGCTGGGTTTCCGGGCAGTAGCCCACCGGCCTCATACCCCAGGGCACTCCTGGATGCCAGGGTAGCCGTGGAATGGCCCGGCCCTGCCCTTTTACCTGCGTCTCGGAGAGGTTCAGCTGGCGGGCCAGTTCGGTGCGCTCACGGCCCACCACGTACTGGCAGCGCTGGAACTCCATCTCCAGGCGGTAGAGCTGCTCAGCCGTGAAGGACGTGCGGGTCCGTTTGGGCCGGTCCAGGTCCAGGCCCTTGGGCAGGACAATTTCTCGGATGGTTCCTTTGGCATCTGCAGGGGTTGTGAAAGGAGGCAAGTTAGTTCACTAGTTAAGGATGTAAGCCACCAATGAACATCTTAATTAGAGGCTGTGTGGGACTTCCCTGATGGTCCAGTGGTTAAGAATCTGCCTGCCAATGCGGGGGACACAGGTTCGATCCCTGGTTCACAAAGATCCCACATGCCTCAGAGCAGCTAAGCCTGCGGGCCACAACTACTGAAGCCTGGCCACCTAGAGCCTGTGCCCCACAGCAAGAGAAGCCATCACAATGAGAGCCTGAACACTGCAACAAGACAGTAGCCTCCTGCACATAGCAACAAAGACCCAGTGCAGCCAAAAATACAATAAACAAAAAAATTAAAAAAAAAAGAGGTAGCACGATCTGATGGGAAGCTCCTCAGGTCTAGGCCTGGCTGTGTGACCTCTGACAAGTTTCTTACCCTCTCTGGGCCTAGCCTCCTCAATCACCCAATGCAGTATCTTGTGTATGTGAATGGGCCTCAGTACAAATGTCAGGTTTATCATCCAGCCTGGGCAGAAGGGACTCACTCTGCCCCAGCCAGGATTCTCTTCCTTGGCAGAATAAGAAACAAATGTAAAGAGAATATACCAAGTCCTCAAGTGCAGAGGAAAGGATGGTTTAGAATTGGATTTGATCAATCAGATAAGGCTTACTGGAGATGTCCAGAGCCAGGTCTTAAGTCCTGTGTGTGTGTGTGTGTGTGTGTGTGTGTGTGTGAGGCATGGGTGCTCTCTCTGTCCACAGACTCTCCTGGGGTCCCTAAAGAGGCTCGCTGGTGTGGGGTGGAGCTGGGATCCCCAGGAGGAGCCTGAGGACCACTGCCACTGCATCAAGCTGCTGGGGAGCCTTCCACAGGGGGAATTTCTGCCACTCCCTATGTGCTGAGTCCTGGACAGCAGGGCCCCCCTCCTGGGCCCTGGACCAACGTCACCCATGAATGGCATCTCCAGTATTTTGAAGCCTACTTAAGAGAGGTTGAAAAACCTGCAGCTAACATTTGCCAGATAGTCCCACTTAAAGAAAGCAGCTAAAGCAAAATTTCCTGGAGGTGGCGGCGGGGGGAGGTGGATTATAATATATACATCAGCCTTAAGTATAGGGGCAAAGATGATCCATGTTTGAATCACACACACTGATGGTTTCAAATCTAGTTATTAGAAAAGGTTATGTCAAAAATTAGAGTGTGGAAATATGTAGCAGCGTATTCTGTGCATGCGTGTGTGTGCTCAGTCATGTCAAACTCTTCGAACCCATGGACCATAGCCCACCAGGATCCTCTGTCCATGGGATTCTCCAGGCAAGAACACTGGAGTGGGGTGTCAATTCCTACTCCGGGGATCTTCCCAACCCAGGGATCAAACTCACATCTCCTGTGTCTCCTGCCTTGGCAGGCGGATTTTTTGCCACTGTGCCACCTGGGATTTACCAAACCTCCCCCAACACACGCTCTTGATAATAATAAAGCTAAGCTAACAGTAATTTGCCATTAGTGTCAATGGGAAACTTATCAACTCAAGGCAGCCCTGATGAAGCACAGGTAACACAGCAAGCCTCCAAGGCTGCAGGAACCCCACCCCTCTCCAGAGGGCGCGCACAGTTTCCAGTGCGGCAGAAGCTTTAGCACCCTTGGCCACTCGCAATAATAGCTGACATCTCTGCAGTGCATGCTCTGGGCCAGGCACTGTTTTAAGTGCTTAAACCCTCCCTATGTCTCAGTGAAGTTGGAAATGTGATTATCCCCATTTTAGAGATGAGGAAGTAGAGGAACACATTATAAGTACCTACCCAAGATCATACTGACAGTGTTTAAAAACTCTAGAAACACCCTCATTTTACTTAAGGAATAGCCTCTTTTAGTAATTCTTAGTGATTCCGTTAATAGGTTATAGTGAAGAGATAGATTATAGACATCATGCGTAGAAAATGGAATCTTCTAACAGGCTCATCATTGCCCTGGAAGACGCAGGAAAGGAACTGCATTTGGGAGGTGCTGACTGTCAAGAGGCTCCTTGTGAGCCATAAGACTGCAGAACCTACTTTTAGAATCCCTGTTCTAGAGGGTGAACCTGGGATCTCTCCCGCCAAGTCCTGTAGTATACTTTATGAGACTGGTTCTGCTTACCTTCTATTAGGGCCAGTTAATGTTCCCCCCTCCAGGAGGTACTCTATTTATTTGGCTGCATTAGGTCTTAGCTGTGGTGTGTGGGATCTTAGTTCCCCGACCAGGGACTGAACCCGAGTCTCCTTCATTGCAGGGTGAGTTCTTAAGCACTGGATCACACAGGGCAGTCCCACTCCAGGGTGCATTTTGGTTCTTCATAGGCTCCTGGCTCTGCTCACAGGTCATACCCCTGATCTCAGAGGTTCAAACACCTTCGTGTTCTCAGTCAACCCTCAGGGAGAGGGTAAGCCTGGGGACACAGTCATGGCCCAGAGGCTGCCCCCACCACTGGGCTGGCCTTTCCAGGGCGCTGGGCAGGACACAGCACACGGATGGGAGCCTTGCTCTCGGCAGGCTGGTAGAATCAGGCTTTTCCAAAAAAGCTTCCCCCCTCCAATACTTTCTACATTTCAAAACGGTGGATTAATGTTTGTGACCCCATTGTGACTGGGTCCTCTTTGCTCAGGTTCTACTGTTTCCAATTGGGAAATCAGGCTCAGAACTTTCCTCACAACACCCAACGAACCCATCTCCAAAGGCACTGATTTTATTAAAAGTATCTTGGGGGGTGTGAAGAGGAGAAAGGGTGATGGATGTCATATATAGTGCCGGAAGCTTCACATCCACTTCCGGGGGAGCCTCTTGGAGCCCACCTGAAGCCCTGAGCCTGCTCCTGACCTCTGATGTCAAACCATACAGCCCTTCCCCTCCTTTCCTCCTTGGAGAGGAGCTAAGAGGGGCATTCCTGCCTCAGGGAGCAGCCGAGGGCAGCCCTCCTCCACAGGGCCAGGAGAGGCAGGAGCATGGAACAAGCACCTTGGACTTGTCCCCAGATATCCCAAAAGTGAAAGTGAAAGTCGCTCAGTCATGTTTGACTCTTTTCATCCCCTTGGACTATAGCCCGCCAGGCTCATCTGTCCATGGAATTGTCCAGGCCACATACAGAAGTGGGTAGCAGTTTCCTTCTCCAGGGGATCTTCCCAACGCAGGGATCAAACCCAGGTCTCCTGCATTGTGGACAGATTCTTTACCTTCTGAGCCACCAGGGGAGCCCCAAGGGCCGTGCAAATGAGCACAGGAAAAGAGGTTCAACCCCGCTAGCCACCAGGAGAAAACAAACGAAAACCAGGAGAGAAATGATCAGAGGAGCGAAAATGAAAAAGAGTGAGAGTTCCAAAGGCTAGTGAGGATACCAAGAAACTAGATGCCTCGTGCATTGCTGCTGGGAATGTAAAATGGTGCAGCCACTCTGGAAACTGACCTGGCAGTTTCCTAAAAGGTTAAACATATATTAACCATGGAACCCCGTAACCTCATTCCTGGGCAATTTATCTAAGAGAAATGAAATCTTAGGTTAACATCAAACCTACAGGGGGATATTCACAGCAGCTTTATCTGTAATAACTCCCAAATGGGGACAACCCAGGTGTTCCTCAATGGGTGAACGGATAAACAAACCATGGTGCAACAATGACTGTAGACAGACACAACAATTTAGATACATCTCCAAATGACACTGAGTGAAAAAACCCAAGGCAGTCCTTCAGATTATGTACTGTATGCTTCCATTTATATTACATTATCAAAATGACAAAGTTGTAGAGGTCGCAAACAGATGTGTGCTGCCAAGGGGTTAGGGAAGGGGGACTGTGGCTACAAAGGGGTAGGTAGCAGGATGATGTTTCTTGGTGGTGTCAAAACAGTTCTGAATCTTGATTTCGGTGGTGGTTACATGGATCTGTAAGTGTAATAAAATGTCATAGTACTATATACTAAGAAAAAAGTGCATGCAAAAAATGGGTGAAATCTGAGGAAGGTCATTAGTTAATTATATTGAATTAATGTCAATTTCTGGATGTTGATCATGTATTACAGTTATATAAGATGTCACCATTGTGAGAAGCTAGGTTGCAGATACATGGGGCTTTTCTACCATTTTTGCAACTTCTTGTGATTCTCTTACTATTTCAAAATAAGACATTAATAACAACAACAACAACAGAACATGCCAAGAGGTTAGAATGATGTTTTGTCACAGAAACTGACAAATCTGTTTGTGTAAAGAATACAACAGAAGCTCCCCAAGTGCCTCTGCATTTCACTGGTAGTTTGTAAGATGATTTAAAATGATACATAAATAAATCTTTGTCATTTCAACAGTTATGCAGTTATTTTAGTGTTTACTAGAACAAATTTAAATCTATGATTTTACATACTCAGCATGAAGCTAAAGTAGACATTTCATTTGAAAATATAAAATATTCTTTCCACAGATTTGCCAGTTTCTGTGACAAAACATCAGTCTAACCTCTTGGCATGTTTTGTTGTTGTTGTTTGCTAAAATATTAAGTAAATAAATGAAACATGGATGTAATAGAAATGGTAATGGTGGGATTCAGATTACTGAATATTGGGAAAAAATGAAATAAGGAGTATACAATTAGAGCCATGGATATATACTGACAGAGTCTATGATAAAGGGAACATTCTGTATGTCTACGCTCTCAATGCAGTTAAGTAGATTGAGGACCATAAATTATCCAGGTTTGGAATAGAATTAGGTTAAATTCATGTCTCACACCATAAAGAATAATGCTTCAAATGGAACACAGAGCAAATTGTAGACTGTAAAATGATGAAGGCATTACAATAAAATATGAAAAGCTATTTTTATATTCCTAAGCTTGGGAAGAGTTTTCCAAGCAAGATGAAAACCTAGAGTGTAAAGGAAAAAAAAAGGATATATTCAACTATATTAAATCTAAAAACTTTATATGACAAAAGCATCAAAACCAAGATAAAATACAAAGTACACAATTGAAAGTATT